TCTCTCTCTCTCTCTCTCTCTCTCTCTCTCTCTCTCTCTCTCTCTCTTTCTTTCTTTCTTTCTTTCTTGTACTGGGGATGGAACTTAGGACTTTGTGCTTGCAAGGCAGGCACGGTGCCAGTGAGCTAAATCCCCGGCCCTCCTCTGTTAAATTTTCTTGAGGAACTGCTGTAGTGTCTTCCAAAATGGCCACACTATTTTACATTCCTACCAACAGTGTGCAAAAGCTCTAATTTTTCCACATTATCACCAATACTTATTAATACCCTGCTTCTAAGATTTTTGTGTCTGTGAGGTTCACAGACTTACTGCTGGGTAACAAATTGCTCTGAAACTTAGCAGCTTTGAATAGCAAGCAGCAAGCATTTTTTACCTCGTTCAGTTTCTGAGGGTCAGGAACCTAAGAGTGGCTACAATGGGAGGTTCATTCAGTCTCCCTTCCCCACCAGCCCCAAGTAAGGAATCATTTGCTTTCTGTAACTATAGATCAGCTTGGATTTTCTATAATTTTGCATTAGTGGAATCATATAGTACATACTTTATGTGTGCTTTCTTGTGTTCAGCATGCTTTTGAAATTAGTCTCTCTCTCTCTCTCTCTCTGGCAACAAGGTCTTTCTGTGTATCCCAGGCTGGCCATAAGCTTGTTATGTAGTCTAGGCTGGTCTCAAACTTATGATCTTCCTGCATCAGCCTCCCAAGTGCTGGGATTATAGGTGTGTGCCACTATGCCTGGGTAAAATATACATATATATATATATTTGGCAATATTGGGAATAAAGGGCCGGGGATTTAGCTCAGTGGTTCTGCTTCCTGGCTCAAAAGCACAAGGTCCCGAGTTCGATCCCCACCCAAATATTGGGAATAAAACCCAAGGCCTTGAGCATGCCAGACAAGTACCACTGAGCCCCAGGAGGGCTAGTCTTTATTTTGAGTGTGTGAGTATTTTGTTCCTTTTTATCACTGAGTACTGTTCCATTGCAAGATATCATTTGTTTGTATTGTCTGGCCTCCAGTTTTGAGATGAAGTCTCTTTGTACAGCCCAGAGTGGTCTGGAACATCTAGGCTCAAGCTATCTTGTTGTCAGCCTCCCAAGTAGCTGGGACTACAGGTGTATGCCACCTCACCTGGCTTTGTACCCCGTCAGGGGACATTTGGAGAGTGATTTTAGAAGAGGGCAGAGTCCAGGTCCTAATTAAATATAGGCTGGGTTCAGTGTAGCCTCGGAGGATCCCTTCCACTGTAGTCAGAAGGCAAGAGATCAGGCCTCCATGCCGGTGGGTAGGACAGGAAAAGGTCGGGGTGGGTGAGCAAGCAGGCAGCAGAGCCACGCAGCTGTCATGCAGACCCAGGTTCTTGGGTCCAGATACCCAGAGGAAACATAGGCACAGGCAAGGCATTAATGGGACTTCTGCTCCACCCAGAAGGCAGTCGCAGTCCTGACAAAGGACAACTCAGGCCAGCATTCTCCAAACAAAGGGGAAAGGGTAGCTAATAAAGAAAAAGTTCCTGCTGAAGGATTCAGACTCTGAGTGTCTGGCCAGCATCTGAGCTCTGTTGCAGGTAGCTTATGGCTTAGCGTGGACGCCTAGGCAAAGGCATGCTTCCAGGAGGCTGATCCTGGCTTGCCTCCTAGGCCGTGTAGGATGAAAGTGGGATGTGTTTGTAGCTATTGTATTTTTAACTCTGGGTTGTGTGTCAGCCCTGGGTCCCCATTTATGTTCTTGTTTGGTTTTGCTCTGAAAGCAGAACAACAACAACAACAAAATGGTTCCTGCAGGGACTCATTCCCAGCAGTTGATGGTTTTATTCCCATTTGGATGGTCCCTGCCTGTCTCAGTACCACAGGGGGCTTGAACAGGTGACAGTCAGTGGTTTGTGCTGGAGCTGAGGCCAAGAGTGGTCTAATCAGGAGCCCAGTGCAGGGTGTGCAGTTCTGAGGTTGCCTTCTCTCCTCTTCCATTTCTGGAAGCACAAATGGGCACAATTCTTGAATGGAGAAAGCACAGCCCTCTGCTTCTAGTCACACCTTAGTTAGGAAGCCCTCTGAGTTCACAAGTCCAGATCTGCAGGTAGAAGGGGAGGCTCACTGGGAGGTTAGCACCTGCTTTAAGTTATACCCCCTTGATAAGAGAAAAAATCAGAGATGTCCTACATTTCATTATAGCGACTCGCAGATGGGGGAGAAGAGAGATACAGGAGTTAATCAGTTAACAGCTAAGTCCAGAACAACATAAATCACCTTCTCCAATGAATGTTAAAACCTTCAGGCAGATGTGGTGGCACACACCTGTAACCCTAGCATTCAGGAGGCTGAGGCAGGGGCATTGCCTTATGAGTTCAAGGCCAGCCTGAACTACATAGTGAGACCCTGTCTCAACAACAACTTAAAACCTTTGGTCAGGTCCTGTGCCCACCCCTTAGATACCACTGTATCCTGCTTACTAATCCAGCGGACCCTGAAGCAACCAGTACTCCTCCTCACCAGCTGCCCTTCTATCCCAAAGCCCTCCTTGGCTTCCATTACCCCCTGCTCTTATCTATAGCCATGTAGGTTCAATCCAAAACAGTCCATGCCTGCCTTCCCCAAATGTTTAAATAAAACTGTTCTTAGTGCTAGGTCCAGGGTACATATTCTCAGCGCTCTCTGTCCCTGTTTCTGGAAGTTGCTGGGCTGTGTCCCAGGACCTGGTCCCTGGCTAACACTTATAAGGCTCAGTAAACCTTTTCATTTCAGATGTCCCTTGGCCTCCAGTGGCGGTGTGATTCCCCCGGTGCTGCAGTCCCCTGTAAGATCCTCACTTGGGTTCCAGCACAGGTGCGTGACTCCGCTGAAGTGACACTGTACACTTGCTCGGGGTGGGTCGAGGCCCTCGGGATGTCCCTGTTCCTTCATGTCCTTGCGTTGGTGCCTCCCACCACCCCACGGAGCCTCACTGTCCAGGACGCCTTTGCAGACCAGACCCCCAGACAGCCAGGAGCGCGAGGGAGATGGACGTGCTGCCCTGCAGAAGGTGGCTTAGGTCTCACTGTAGTGCTGTTTCTTCTTTCCTCCTCCCTCTATTTCCTCTCTTCTTTCTCTCTTCTCAAAAATCTGGGGTCTGCCTCCCATCCCCTAAATTCCCAGGGCTGCATTCTTCCGGCAGCCCAACTCGCCCCCCATCCCCTGCCCCAGGAAAAGGGGCTCCCTAGGGCCCTAGAAAAGCTTTGGGCTCTGAGAGATAGATTCCCCCACGCCTCCCCGGGCGGCCAGGCCTCCACAATTGCCAGGGCCGGGACAAGGACCAGGGCCCCGAGTGGTTGGATTGGTCGGTGGGCCAGAGGCGCAGTGGTCCCGCCCCCTGGTTGCCAGGGCTCAGCCTATCCACGTCCAAGCGGGCCATTGGTTTCCAGGTGGTTGCGGGTGGAGGTCGGAGCAGGTGCAGGACAGTGTGTAGAGGGAGGTGGGGGTCCCCAAGGGATCACCCCTCCAAGCCCCTCTGTTTGGGTCCCTGGGTCGTCAGGAGCAGCCTCGGAAACCGGCCTCTCCCCGACTTTACAGCCGCGGCAAGGAGGCCCTTCCCTCTGGTGCCCGCCTCTCCGCGGCCCCCTCCGCGCGCCGCCGCGTCTGGATCGAGCGCGCGCGCCCTGGGCTCCCCCGCCCGTGGCCGAGGGGCGGGGCCGGCCTGGTTCCCTGGGCGCCGCCGTCTGCAGCCCCCTCCCCTCGCCTTCCCGCCGCTCCGGCCCGCGGTGGCGCTCGGGCCAAGCCCCACCCAGGACCCAGCGTGGAGCTCAGGGAGGCCAGAGCTAGAGGTGGGCGCAGTGGGAGCAGGTGGAGGCGCCGGGCGCGGGCCGGGGCCGGGCTGGGGGAGGGGTCAGCCCCGGGACCCGGCTCTTTGTCTCCGGGAGCCGGATCGCGGGCAGCGAGGCCGCTCTTCCTCCGGCAGGTGCTGGCATCCTCGGGGAGGCTGGGAGGGCGCGCGCTCCGGACCTGGGCGAGCAGGGCTCGAGGCTGCCCGCGGGTCACTGAGGTCCCTGACGGGAGAAGGGTCGGGGCGGGGATGTCGGTCCTGAAACGGAGCTGAAGCGAGGGCGGGCAGGGCCTCTCCGCTTCGGGGAAGGCGGTGGGGGTGGGACTTGAGGACCGGAGGAGCAGCTGGGCTGCGGAGCGGGTGTGGGTGATGCGAGGGAAGCGGATCCAGGCACCCATGGGTGGCGATGCTGGGGGGCGGGGAAGCAGCGAGGTGCCAGGATCCAGAGCCCGATAGATACCGTTGCGGTCCGGGATCTGGGGTGCTGATCCGTCGGTCTTCTCCTCAGGTGCGGGATGGACAAGAGGGACAAGGCAAAGGCGGGGGCCGCGGCGCGGGCGCCGGCTTCTCGCCCTCCCGGCCACTCCACCCCAAGGCCCCCAGGGTCTCCTCGACCCCCTCCTCCAGTAACCGCCGCGGCCCTTCGAGTTCTGGGAGCAGCGGGAGCTACGGGGCGGAGACCCCTGGCCGAGCGAGGTGGGGGCGGCGGCGGAGCCGAGGCTGCTGCCCGAGGGGGAACAACGCGGAGCGCTGGTACAGGTCCCCGGAGCCCAGGTACCCAGCTTTCTTTCTCTGTCCCATCCTCCTGCCGCGCCCCCCCACCTCTCCTTTCAGGGGCACTGTTAACTCTCTCCCTGCAGCTTCCAGGCCCCCAGCGGCTGGGAGAGGGGAGCGCCCCCCTGCCAAGACCCCGGGCCAGGTCTCTGTCACCAGCCAGGCGCGCGCCAGTGGGACCAGCAGGTAAGGAAGGAGCTCCCTCCCTCCCAGCTGAGCGTCACACTCTGGACTCCACATGTGGCACGGGAGCTACGGGCTGGGGAACACCTGACCATCACTGGCTGCAAACCGGGTGAAAGTCATCGGTCCGCAGAGGGTGCGCTCCCCATTTCACCGACGGGAAATGGTAACACGGAGCTGGTCCCTCCTGCCCCCAGGTCAGGCCCTGTTGGTCAGAAGGGACTCCAGGCCCCCGCTGAGGAGCCTGTGGCCAGAGGAAAAGCTCCAGAGGCTCCCAGAAAGAGTGCCGTGAGCTCTGGAGTGCGAAGAGGTGCGTGGCCTGGGGGAGGAACGGGCTCTTAGGCCCTAGGCCTGCTGCTTCGGAGGTTAGCGAGACCCTTTGGGCCTTCTGGTTTGTCTCCAGACTCTGCAGGGCCCGCCTCGGGGGCCCCCTCTGCTGCCGCCGCCCGTCGGACCAGGGCCATAGGCGCAGAGGTGGGATTCCCACGACCAGCCCCGAGTACCCGGCAGCGGCCCCCGACCGAGGTGCCCCGGAGATCAGGGAGCAGTGCCACCGAGCGCAGCAGTGCCGCAGACTCGAGTCCCACAGGCCGGAGGCCGCCCAGCGTCGGTGGGGCTCTTCAGAAAGCGGCCTCGCGTCCCCCCGGCTCCAGCGCTACTCCTCTGCCCTCTCCAGCCCGCTCTGGGGCTGTGCTTCGTGCAACACCCCGCTCTCCTGCGCAGACGTCGAAGCCCAAGTCCAAAGTGCTCCAGGCTCTGCGGTCCGCACCTCCAAGGAAAGAGGCAGCCTTAGCTCAGGGCCCGCCTACTTCTTTGGCCACGGCCCCTCCACCTGGTCCCCCTACGCAGCAGGCCTGGTCTCCCCAAGTCTCTGGGGCCCCCCTGCTGGCCGCACTCCCTCCCTCTCCACCGGCCACGCCCCCTCCACCCGCCTCGCTTCACCTGCAGGCCCCGCCCTCCCTGCAGGCCCTGCCCTCCCTGCAGGCCCCGCCCCCTCCGCGAGTCCCTTCCCCTCCCCTGGCTCTGCAGAACCTCCCCTCCCCACCGGCCACGCCCCCTTTGCAAGCTCCACCCACACAGCTGGGCAGGTCCTTTTCGGAAGAGGCATCCCTCCCTCCGCTGTCTAAGGCTGCACCCTCTCCAACACTTTCACCCCCGCTGCAGAACGTCCTCCTCACCCAGGCTTCTTCGGCTTTGCCACCTCTTCCGACTCCCTTGACCACACCTTTTTCGTCCACTCTACCTTTACCCTCGTCCTCTATACAGATCCCTCTTTCTCCACCAATTTCTCCGCTGAATCCGCCGTCTCCTCTGTCCACGCCCACTCCACCGGCTTTTCCCACTCTGGCCACGCCTTCTCCCCTTGCCAGTCCCGCCCTGTCTCTGCCCCCTCTTCAGACCATGGCCTCTAAAAGGCCTACGCCTCCATCGCCAGACCCTCCTCCTCTGGGGACATCCCCTGTGAAGGGTCCTCTGGCCGCTCCCTCTCCTCCAGCCTCTCCCCCTCTGCATGCCCCGCCCCCTTCACTGGCCCCGCCCCCTCTGTGTGCCCCACCCTCTCTGACCTCGCCACCCATACAGGTCCCACCTGCTCTGGTCTCACCTCTGCTGCAGGCCACGCCTTCTTTCCGGCCCACGCCCCCTGTGCAAACCCAAGCTCCTCTGACCTCGCCCCCTCTACAGGGCTATCCTCCCCCTACCACGGACCCTTTGCCCCTTCTCTCTCCCCCTGCCTCTCCCCCTCTACAGGCTCTTCTCTCTCCTCCCGCCTCACCACCTCAGCAAGCCTCTCAGTCTCCCTGTGCCTCACCTCCCCGGTCTCCTTTGGGTACCCATCCTCCACAGGCCCCGGCTTCTCTAGACTGGCACCCGGCCTCTCCCCTGGCTACGCCTCCTCCACAGGTTTCGCCTCTGGCCTTGCCTTCCCTACAGGCCCCTCCCTCACCCCAGGCCACTTCCCCCATGCAGGCCCCGCCTTCACCGGCCTTATCCCTTCGGCGGGATCCTCCCTCTCCCATGATCACGCCCCCTCCACCGACCCTACTTCCTTTGCAGGCCCCGCCCTCCCCTCTGCCCCCGCCCCATACGCAGGCCCCGCCCTCCCCGCGCCTGCAGTCCCCGCCCCTTCACCTGACCACGCCCTCTAGGCAGGTCCCATCTTTGGTCTTGCCCCCTCTGAAGGCACCTCCCTCTTCCCTGGCCACGCCACACACACAGGCCCCGCCCTCCCCGCTCATGGAGGCCCCTCCCCTTCCCCTGGCCACGCCCTCTAGGCAGGTCCCATCTTTGGTCTTGCCCCCTCTGCAGGCACCTCTCTCTCCCCTGGCCTCGCCCCTCCTGCAGGCCCCTCCCTCTCCCCCTGCCTCTCCTACTCCACACGCTCCACGCCGTCCCCCGACCCCTGGTCCAGATGCCTCCATTTCTGGCCCGCGGTTGACACTAGCGCTGGCCCCGGCTCCGCCGCCACCACCCTCGCGCAGCCCGTCCAGCACGCTGAGTGGCCCGGACCTGGCTGGCCACAGCAGCAGCGCGACGAGCACACCCGAGGAGCTGCGCGGTTACGACAGCGGGCCCGAAGGCGGCGCCGCAGCCTCCTCGCCGGCCGACGCGGAGCTCGCTGCCTGCCACCCAGCTGCCTGGAGTCGAGGCCCTGCTCCGCCGCTGGCTGTCCGCGGCGCTCCAGGTAAGAGGGCTGCTGGGCCGGACGGGGCTGGGAGGGGACTGGAGGATGGGGGGGGGCTCGCCTCAGGCGGTGCAGAAGGAAAGGGGCGGGACACAGGGCGGGGCAGAGGAAGGGGTGGGGCGTGGGGCGGAGTGAGGCGGGGCGGCTGCGCGAGCGAGCGTGGGAAGAGGGCGGGGAGGGGAAGGGGCAGGTCTCTTCCCTGGGCCCAGCTCTGCGTCGCTCACCGCAGGAGCTCCGCTCTCCTGGCCTCCGGCAGCGGGACCCGGCTCTGCAGACGGGCTGTGCACCATCTACGAGGCTGAAGGGCCTGAGCCGGCGACCCCCACCCCGGGCGCGCTGGATCCGGGGCTCGGGTCGGGCGCCGGGGGTGAGAAGGCCGCAGCGGGCGCGGGGCCGGGTCAGTCTTCGCGGAGCCCGAAGCCGGCGCGCCTGGGCGAGCTGCCGCTGGGGGCGCTGCAGGCAAGCGTCGTGCAGCACCTGCTGAGCCGGACGCTGCTGCTAGCGGCTGCCGAGGGCGCCGCGGGAGGCAGTGGCGGTGGGCCAGGCGGCTCGGGTGGTGTTGGGGTCTCGGGGGGCGCCCGGGCTCCGCTCAGCGATGCCGAACTGGGCCGCTGGGCCGAACTGCTATCTCCTCTGGATGAGTCCCGAGCTAGCATCACCTCGGTCACCAGCTTCTCCCCGGACGACGTGGCTTCCCCTCAGGGTGACTGGACCGTTGTGGAAGTGGAGACTTTCCATTGAGCCCGCGGCGGTCCCGCCTGCTCCCATCCGGGTTTAGGCTCCCCTCTCCGTTTTAGACCCTGCCCCCGTCCCCTGCAGCCCGGCCCTTGTCCCATTGGTTTTAGCCCCTAGAGCTCTTTCTAGTCTTTGGGCCCAGACCCCAACCCCGCTCTGGCTGAGGCTAGGGAGCAACCCACGCCCTTGGCCTAGGCCATCCCCTCGGGTCTGCCCCTTTGGGCTAGGACACGCCCCTGCCCCTTCTAGCTTCGTCCCTTGTCCAGTGCATTTACTCCGCAATAAACCTGGGAGCAATAAACCTGGGACACCAGAGCCCGTGCCTTCGCTGTCGTCACGGGGTCCAGGACTTGGGGACCTCCTGTGGGTCGAGGGAGCTTCTGAGCAACGCCAGGGGCTGAACTGTATGGTTTTTCTCCTACTGAAAAGGAGCCAGGGAGGTGGAAGTGGGGTTGGGTGGTTTGTGCCATGCACCTACCCACGTGCCGGAAGTTGTGCTTCTTCCCATCCGACTTCTAGTAGAAATGTTAGGCTGAGCACAGGCCTGAGAGGATGAACCCGAGTGTGGTCAAGGTGAAAGGGCGACAGAAGGCCCTTCGTACCACACAGGGGAACTGGCACTCCTGGGGGACAAATGGGAAGGGCCTGGCCGGGGTGTGGTGGGACCCCTTTGCACACCTCTCTGGCAGTGTGCACCCCCTTACCTTGCAGTCCTTGAGATAGGGACTTCCCTTCAGGGTAGGGCCTGGAGCAAGAACTCTGAGTGGGAACCTAGGGAGGGGTCACAGGATCCCCTTGTTCCCTTGCCTCCCTCCTGACCCCTGGGCACCTGCTCTGCTCATTGAGGAGGCTGCAGTGCAGAAAGCAGACCGGCCAAAGGATCTTCTATAGATGTGGGGTCCCAGGCCAACTACAAAGTTGGCGCTGCAGGGAAGTGGCTTTTCCCAGGACTGGGTGGGAGATGTGGGGTGCATGCTGCCCCTCTGGGCATCACATCCCCAAAGATCCCCTACCTCAGGCATCCTCATTAGACCCCACCCAGCCTCTTCGCTCAGAATTCCTTGCCCTTTCCTCCCCCTAGTCAGTCACGCCAGGGCTCTCGCTCTTCCCAGATGTCCTCTCAGGAGCTCCCCGCTAAGCCTTTCCTCCCAGGGATGCCCTGCTCAGTACTGTGAGGGCAGCATCCCCAGGTGGATGGAGGACAGGCTGGGTCCCTGTGTGGGGCCCTCGGCTCTCTCTGCCCTTGGACCTGGTCTCTTTCTCTACCCTGAGGCTAGGACACCAAGTCCTGTGTGGCCACCCCTGAAATACAGCCACCTTCCATCCTGGGGTCTGCAGGGGCCATGCTAGCTCCACTCTAGAGAGCTGCGGGAAAGGGGGCCAGAAAGCTGCCTCACTCAACCTGACCTTTGTGGAAAACAATTTCCTCTGCAGCTGCCTGTTGTGGGGACCCTGTCGACTTGGTCCCAGATCCTGCAAGAAGCCCAAAGGCAGGTGCTGACTCTTGACTTGAGGGGCAGTCCCCGCTCTGGTGAGGTCAGGGCACACACAGACTTCCTTTGGGGCCCCGCCCCCACTTGGGTGGAGTTAATCAACCTGTGGAAGCCTGGAGCCAGGGCGGTGACTGTGGGGTCTGAGTTGTCTATGAGATGTCGGGACAATAGGGGGGAACTGGCCATCCTGGTGTGGAACCAGTGTCACGCACAGCTGTGTGGCAGCCATCGGGCAGCAGAGGGGGCCACCGTGGGACCACACTGGGGCACAGCAGGGCTTGGCTGCTGTCTGCCAAGCCTGTCCTGAGTTAATTTCTGCCCCTGGGCAGCCTTCCTTTACCATCTACCATCTCTGCCTCTGCCCTCCACACACCAGCTCCGTGAAGAACCCCCAAAAGGATGCTGCCCCTTGGGCCCTCTTTTCCTGGGGATCCCCCACTTACTGTCCCTCGCGTCAGCTACCCTGGCCTCCTCAGTGAGCCCAACCCTGTGCCCCATCTGACAGTGCCTCTGTCCCTTCAACCACCCATGGTGCCCCATGTCCCGCAGTGCAGAGCTGTCTCCACCTGACTGCAGCAGCTCCTTCCCACACCGGCTGCTTCCCAGCCTCCTGTGCCTCACTGCTGCTCCCAGTGACATCTGGCCTTTGCCTTTCCCCGGGGAGAGGACTGACGGCCTTGACTTCCTGGCACAGTTGTCTGGCCCACATTAGCATCAGTGCCTGTGTCCTTTACTACATTGGGGCCCTTCACAGTAAGGCATGGGGCAGGGGCCCCCAGAAGGGCTCCAGAAGCGCGCACTGGGTGAACGAAGCCAGATGCTGCTCTTTCAGAAGCTGGTATCCCTGCTTGTCTCTCGGGAGGGCGATGTGGGACATCGTACCCTGGCCCCGTACTAACTGTCTCCCCCCTGCCACTTGGACAAGGCCTGCCCCACTCAGCGCCCTTGTCTGTGACTGTGTAAATAACTTTATTTTCCATCTTTCCCGCCTGGGCGACGTGTGGAAGTGTGAACAGGCAGTGTGCAAAATGGTGGTGGGCAGTGAGGGGGGCACACTGGGAGAGCCCCGCAGGTGCCCACCTGGTCCCCAGGCTTTGTAACACTGAAGAGTAGGCAACCAGGAAGGGGGACCGAGCAGAGCAGGGGGCCCCTCCAGGACGCACTGGGAGATTGCTTCTGATGCTACTCTACTCGAGGCTCCAGGAGCACCGAGAGGGTCGGCCGAGGGTCAGGAGGCCTCTGGGGAGGAAGGAGGACAGGGCCTGGGGACACTGCTGGGCTTTGGCACGGTGCTCAGCTCTGACTTGGTAGAGGCCCCGGGCCACCACCCGAGGCGAGGGGAGGTGGCTGTGCTGGAGCGCTCACCCTGGGCAGGGGAAAAGGAAGGGGTGGACGGACGGAGGCTGTGGCCCCCAGGGGAGGGGACCCTTTAGGTCGCTAGCCAGGATGCGGGTCTCCCAGAGGAAGAGGTGGGCGCCGGGGAGATGGGTTTCTTCATCCCTTGCAGCTGCTCTGGCCCCGGAGAAGCAAGGAGACACGGCCCAGGTCTGAGCTGTTTCCCTGGCCACCCACACCCAGGTGGCCGGCCCTGCACAGGCAGGAGGGACTTTGGTTTCTGCTGCAGGGGCCAGGATGACCGCACCGGCAGTGAAGCCCAGCTCAGCCGTCTGTCCCCGGTGGCCAGGGGCCAGCTGGTCCAGGGTCACTGTGTCCATTGGAGTCCTGGGGTGCTAATGTCCGGCCCAGAGCTGCCTCTCCTTCCTTGGGGCCTCCTCTAGCTCCTGGGCCCTTCCCCGCAGGGCCGCCCTGGGGTCAGAAGGAAGCCAGCTGGGGAGGCGCTTCCTGCTCACTCAATCCGGGGCCCTCTGCGTCGCGGGCCCCCCGCCCTCAGTGTTGGGAGTGCAGCCCTGCCACTGGCCTGGGGTGCGCTGGGCCCCAGGAGCGCCCAGAGGGTGGGGCCAGGATGGGTAAACGCTGCTAAGAAGGGAGAGCCTGCCGAGGGGCCCTACCCTCTGCTCGCTACCTCTGCTCGCTACGTCTGCAGCAGCTCGCTGGCCAGGTCGAGTTCATTAAATGCGGCCCAGGGAGCAGCTGGCTCCCGGCGCGGGCCTCGGCCTCAGTTGTCCAGGCCCTGGCTGTAGGGCGCCGCCAGCTCCTCGGCATCACTGTCCGAGCTGCCCTCGCTGTCCTTGGCCGGCCTCTCTAGGCGGCGGAAGAAGCGCGCGTCGCGCGGGGACAGGGGGTACAGCGCATCCTGCAGGGCCGCGCCCACGCCCACTCCCAGCAGCTCCTCGTCGGACGACGGCAGCGAGTCCTCATCCAGGTGCCCCGTCAGGCTCAGCCCATCGAAAGCCAGCGGGTCCTCGAAGGGCGGCGGGCCCTTCAGCAGCCGCACCTGGGGCGGGACCCGCGCGCTGGAGGCGTGGACCGCGCACCCACGCGGAGTCCAGCCGCCCGCCCGGCGCCCTCCCTCCCTCCCGCGGAGTCCTCACGCCACGGCCTCCCGGCCTGTCACCTACATCCCCAGGCTGCCCGCGCTCACCTCTGCCTTCAGCTCCTCGATCTGGTCCTTGAGCTCTCGGATGTACTGCGAGGAGTCGGAGTGGTTCAGCTGGCCCTGGATGCGGCCCTCCTCCCTCTGCGGGGCGTGCGGCGGTCAGCCAGGGCCCGCCCCTTCCCTGCCCCTTCCCGCCCCTTCCCGCCCCGCCGCGCACCTGGATCTCCAGCTCCGCGATGCGCTGCCGCATCTCGGCCACCGCGGCCATGCTGTCCGCCTCCCGCAGGCGCACGGCCATCACCTCCTCCTTGCTCTGGGGGTGGGGACAGACGGGGGTGGGGTCAAGGCGGGTGGTGGGGCGGGCCGGAGGGGGGCGGGGGGGAGCACCTTGCACCTTGCACTCGGCCTCCGCCTGCTTGCGGCGGCTCTCGCTGAGTTGCGTCTGCAGCCCCTTGTTCTGCGCCGCCAGGTACTGTAGCTTCTCCTGCAGCGCCGCGCGCTCCGCCTCCACGCGGTTCAGCAGGTTGCGGTGGATGTGGTCCTGGGCATGAAAGGAGAGGGGACCCGCGGGTCACGGACGGGCCGGGGCGGCCAGAGACTCGGGGCCGCTGTCCCTGATGGGGGGCGCGCAGGCTCACCTGCGTCTCGAGCTCCACCACGCGCTGCCGCAGCTCGCGGCCCTCGGCCAGCGCCTGGGCCTCGCGCAGACGCACGCTCATGAGCTCGTCCTGCAGCTCGCCCAGCACCAGCTTCCGCGGAGACTCCTTCCAGCGGCCGCCGCGGGACAGGTGGGCCTGGGGAGCGTCCGAGAAGCCGGCGTGAGCCTCGCCGGCGGGAGCCCCGAGTCGCATGGCCTCCACGCGCCCAGGGCTCTCACCTGCCAGGCGTCCGACAGCTCCTGCAGCTGGAGTTTCTGCTCCCGGGCAGAGGCCACAGCCTCGCCCTCCCGCACCTTGAGCGCCTTCAGCTCCTCCTGCAGCCGCGCCACGTTGTTCTCGTCCGGGAGCGAGCTGTTCCTCTGCGCGGAGAGAGGCGGTCAGGGCGCCGGGAGCTGCTGGGCCGCACAGCTCTGTCTGCAGGACCAGCACCCCCAGCCTCCTTCCCTCTGGGCTCGCTTGGGACCAGGCCCGGGGCAGGCGCGTGTAACCGAGCTGGGGGCCCCGTCTGTGAAGTGGGCGCCATGACAGCGTCTCTGCTCTGAGTGGCCCAGGGTAGCCCCCGCGTGGTGGCGCCACCACCGAGGATGCCGCAGGAGCTTGCCCGAGGGCACCCGGAGACCCATCGCCCCCTCCCTGGGCCTGCGTGCGACCAGACTGGCATCTGCACTGGCGGGGCTGAGTGGACAGGGCGGCAGCACCCTGACCTGCCTGGCCCGGCCGAGGGTGGGCGTGGCCCTGTGTGGTGTGAGTGGTTCCCCTCAGCAGCTCTGTGGAAGAGCTGAGTCCACTCAGGGGAGACCTAGGAAGGCTGAACCCTCTACCGGGCTGCAGGCAGGAGAGGGCGGCCCGCCAGTCCCGAGGGGTGTCTCCATGGGAGCTGGGGAAGCCCTCCCCTGCCCGGCCTGGGCCTTCCCTTCCTGTCCCTGGACCCCCCGTCCGGGAGCCCAGGAGTGGTGCAGGATGCAGGCCTGTGGGGTCTCGTGGAGGCTCAGCAGAGCGGCCACACTGCTGGCGCTCTGCTTCATCCTCGAGTCCCAGGGCGGCCGTGCCTCCCTGGTGGCTGTGCTCGTGTGGAGACTTGGAGGAGCAGGTGCCCAGTGGGCTAGGGAGGAGCCCTGGTGCAAGGGCAGCAGGTGAGGGCACTTCCTCCGCAGGGACCACCGGGGAGGGGTGGGGTAGGGTGCCCTTCCTTCCGCACCTCCCAGTTACCAAGGCCTCCCGTCTTTTCCGGTCCCAACACCGCCCCTGTAGCCCAGCTGCACCTTTTCCATGTCCAGAACCTTGTCCTGCATCTCCCGCAGGGCCCCCAGCGTCTCTGTCTCCCGAAGCCTTGACTGCTCCAGCTCTGTCTCCAGGTGGGCCACGAAGTCCTCAGTGAGGCGTGGATTCTCCTGGGGGGGCAGAGGGCTGTGTGGGGCCTTGGGCAGTGGCTGGGCCCAGGCCTTGGCCCCTCCACAGAGCCTCTGGGCATCCTGGACTAAACCTGTCACGGCGCAGCCCAGCGGCCAAGCCACTTTCCTAGGAAGGCCACAGAGGGGACTTCCTGTGGCCTCAGATGCCCTCTAAGGGACCAATGACTGTGTGGTTTCCCAGGATCACCTGGCAGCACCGAGGGAATGGCCAGGGCAGGGCTGGGGACTCAGCTCTGTCTCGGCTTTCCCCCTCCTGCCCCATTTCAGAGCCTGAAGGATGGGGACAGAGTTTGCTCTGGGTGACATGGCTGTACCTGGGCCTGGTAGAGATATGCCCTGAAGGCCACTGGGCAAGGGGCGTGGCATGGGCGTGACCCGCCGGCAGCCCACCCGCTCACTCGCCTGGTACCTGCTGCTCCTGCAGCTGGCGGATAGTGCTCTGTGCCCTCTGCAGGTCCTCGGCAGCCGAGCTGCACTGCTGCCGCACCACAGCCAGCTCCCGCTTGATGACGTAGTTCTCCTCTGCCTCCTGCGCCCGTGTCACCTGGCCCTGGGCACAGCGAGCATGGGACCATGACCTTCTGCTTCCATCCCAGGCCCTGCCTCTGGCCACAGAGGAGGCCCAGAGCAGGTGGGAGAGGAGGGAGGTGAGAGGGCGAGGTCCCGAGCACTCAGAGCCTGGAATGGGTGCCCCCAGGGGTGTGGGGTGTAGGAAGTGGGTACAGGCAGCAAATGACCCCCCCAATCTGTCAGGCTTAAATGCAGGAATGGGGGCCTGAGCTAGGGCTGCTGACAGCTCCCTGATTCTGGCTCTTGGCCTCTGGCTCAGGGCAGGGGCACTGCAGAGGCTGCTTGTCCCCTTCCCGTCAGGCTGTGGTGGTGACAGTGGGTTTCTGGGGCAGCCACAAGTCCTGGCGGCTCTTCTGGGGCTGGGGGGAATCCAGATCTCTCTGGGGGCCTCCATCTGAGGGACACTGAGATCGCCTCTCCCCCATGCACTTTGGGCCCCCCCCATTCCAGGCTTGGAGCCAGCAGGGGACAGAAGCGTCTAGATGAAGCCATTCCAGAAGCAGCACAGAAGCAGGTGAGAGAAGGTGGCGCGCTTGGCAGTGCAAGCAGAGAGGAGGAGCAGGAGGGGCCACAGGGAGCGTGTGTGCATGTGCGTGTGTGCACGTGTGTGTGCACGTGCGTGTGTGTATGTGGAAGGTCTGAGTGCAGCGCAGTGCACACACTAGGTCCTGAAGCTGATACTTAGGGCCCCGACTCCTCTGGGTCCTCCATCTGGGCCCCATCAGTCATGGTTCATGCTCCCCCCATTTCTCTCCATTTCACATGCCCCCTCCCGGGAAAGCCTGCACCTCCCTGGAAGAAGCGGAAGTAGCCCCCATGCACAATGCCAGGCCTGCCCCTCTTCGCCCCCAGAATGGCAGTGGCCAGGGAAGAGGCGGTTACTGGCTGTCATGTGGAGGAACCAGGGAAGGGGCCAGGAGGGAGGGAAACTGGAGAGGAGATGAAAAGCTACAGTACCTGGATTAACCTATCAGCCAGAGCAGCGCTCTCCTACCCGGCAGGTGAAGGGGGTTCCCAGCAACAGGGGAAGGAGGCAGAGCAGAAGGTGCGGGACAGGAGAGGGGAGAGACAGACAAGAACCACTTGTCACTAACGCAGTGGACTATCTCTAGAAGCAGGGGAGAGAGGAGTGAAGACCAGAGAACCAGCAGGAGAGGACCCGGAGGAAGACCAAAGCCAGAGCCAGCTCCGTCCCGGAGAGGGGTTCGCAGGGAGGTTGGGTGGCCGGCCGGGGAATCTCAGCTCTGGGAATGTTGGCCTCAGTTTTTTTTTTTTGAGACAGGGTCTCGCTATGTAGCCCAGGCTGGCCTTGAATTCATGGAGATCCTCCTGCCTTAGCCTCCTGAGTGCTGAGATCACAGGCATACACTACCGCACCTGGCTATATCAGCCTCATTGTGAAGAGGAGCTGTCTGGAGAGGTCTGGGATGGGGAATATGTTTTCAGGGGGAGCAAGAATTGAGGTTTTGGGACAAGGGCAATAAAGTCTTCCCATGACCCACTCACTTCCCGTGGTCAGTGAGAGGAGCAGGAAGTGGGAGACCTGGGGCTGGGCCTGGGGAAGCCACCAATCCCACCCCCTTCTTTAACAGTGTGGGGCCCAGGACTGCCATGTTTGCAGTCCAGAGTTCTAACTCAGCTCCAAACCCAGGGTTAATCACATTGTCAGTTAGGGCCCCAGGGGGAAGTGAAGTCTACCCCGAGCCCCCATGACAGGACACCCCGAATCTCAGCAGGGTCTCAGTGGGTTCAGAGGATTTAAACTGTGCTTCTCAGAGCCCACTGGTTCAGGGTCCAGGTGTGGGCCTGATGGCTGCTGGGCCCTGCAAGAGAGACCTGTAGGATTCAGAGCCCCCAGCTGGTGTCCACACCACTGACCTTCTCCAGGGTCTCAATCCGCTGTTTCAGGAGCCGGTTCTCAGTCCGAAGCCTCTACGGGAGGAGGGAGACAGGTCAGAGTCCACCCTCCATTCCCCCACACACATACCCCTCATGTACTCACCACTGAGGTCCAGCTGGGTCCCCTAAGGGGCTAGTGCACCCTCAGGCAGGATGGAGCCCAGGTCTTATGTTCTGGATCAGTGATATCAGAAAACATGGCCCACTCCTGTTCAGTCACCCTTAATGCGTTCATGTGTGGAATACTATGCTGGCACAAAGAAGGATAAATTTGAATTTGATAAATTTGTAGGAAAATGGATGCACCTTGAGACCGTACTATTAAGTGAAATAAATCAGATACACAGGGTTAAATAGTACATGGTTTCTCATATAATAACCCTAAATTATAAATGAAGAGCAAAATAAAAGATAATGGGAAATAGGGAGACATCTTTTGCAGAAGGGTGGGAACCAAGAAATGAAGGGAGCAGGGAGGGGAAGGAGATTAAAAAAGAGAATTAAGACATGTTGTTATGCACATGTATCAACTCCCACACAGAGTGCAATCATTATGTATTGTAAACATGTACTAATAAAAAATAAAATTTAAAAAAAACTTTAAGAAACCCACTGCTGGGCATAGTGGTGCACACCTGCAATCTCAGCACTCTGAGAGGCTGAGGCAGGAGGATCTCAAGTCAGAGGCCAACCTGGGCAATTTAGCAAGAACCTGTCTCAAAAAGGAAAAAAAACAAAAAGGGCTGTGGATGGAGCTCATTGTGAAGACCCCCAGTGCAAAGAGTTCAGTTGCCAGTACCACAAAAGCCAAAGCAAAGCAAGCAACCAAACAAAACATTTCTTAACAGCAGGGCAGGCTTCTGTGGCTGCTCTTGCCCGTGTCCTGTTGCAGTCTGCAGCCTTGCCCTTCTCAGAAGTCCCCTTCTAGTCGGTGCTCGGGGGCGTGTCAAGGGCAGAGGCCCCTGCATCGTGGAGCAAGCTGCTGGGCCTTGCTCTGCTCCCAGCCCCAGGAGCCTCCTGCAGGAGCTGCTCTCTGAATTTGGGCTCCCTGCTCTCCACAACTACACATCTGTGACTCTGCGGGGCCTTCTTTGCCTTGGCCTTCCGATCCAAACTGAGGGATGTTGGGTAGGTATTTGCAGTTTTAGGGAAGCGGGTGACATTTACCTACACGTGGGATCTAGTCTCTCCTGACCCCGGTGATGGAGAAACAGTTTGGGTCAGTGGGTGAGGGTCTTGGCTCACTGTGGGTCACACAGAACATTTCCCGTGTTACCTATGAGGTGAATTGGTGAAATATTTCCAGGAAGCGGCTGTAGCCAGCGAATCATGATGGTTGCAGACTGGCATCATGGGGGAAACTGAGTCAGCATGGGGTAGGGCCTTGTCCCCACTTTCCCGCATGGAGAGGTCAGAGCTGTTTCAGGCATGGATAGGGACCCCTGACCTCTGACCCCTGAGCTGCTCTGCCCTCTGGCCTCAACTATCCTTAGAGCACCTGGACAGGCCCGGCCAGGAAGTCCTCTCTTTCCTCCTCAGCCCCAAAGAGGCATGAGGCTATACACTACTCACGGATTTAATTTTTTTTCTGTACAGATCTTGCTCGTTTAACGACCTGTTAAATGACTATTCAGACTTACAACCGAGACACACCTTTCGGACTTAGGACGTGCTGCTTGGACTTTCAGCCTGTCCTTTTTTGGTACAGTTACGTACATCTTGTTTATAGAGCTTCAGTGTCTTTTTTGTACAGTACATCTTGTTTTATGACCCTTTGTCTGGTACTGGGGATCAAACTCAGGACCTCGCACTTTCCAGGCAGGCATGGTGCCACTGAGCTACATCCCTGGCCACACTATACCTTGTTCATACAGTAGTGTAATTTTTGTTGATGGTAGTGTACAGTACAGCACTGTAGTTTTTTGTTTTTTTTTTTTTGGTACCAGAGATCGAACTTGGGTCCTTGCGCTTGTGCAGCAGACAGCGAAACCACTGAACTAAATCCCCAGCCCAGCACTGTAGTTTTGTATCCTGTTATACAATACAGTACTGCAGGTAAGAGTTATGCAAATAAAAGCAACATCATCAAGTTGGAGATTCCTTTGGCTATTTCTTTGTTCTGAATATTGTTTTGTACATACGATGCACAATTCCTCATTTTGTCACTGCATCAAAGGGACGGGACTTGGTCATTAAACGAGGAATGTCTGTCTGTCCTTTATGAAGTGTTGCCATTCTGGCCTTGCTAATTCTGGACAGCTCATTCCTGGACGGCAGCACGTGCCCTTCCTGTACCAAGAACCAGTCCGGAGCCCAAACCCTGACCAGCTCCTTCATCTCACATGCACGCATGCACCAAGCCAACGTCCAGGCCCGAAATCACCCCAGCGCCAGTCCTGGACGCCAGGAGATGTGCCTGCAGGCCAGAGTCCTGGAACCCGCCCCAGCTGTGGAGGCTGGGCCTGCTCAGGCCTGCCTGCCCTGCTCTGGCAGCTCCTCCCCGCGGAGAAGGCACCATGGGCCCGGATACACGCTTCACTTTGCCTCTCGCTCTGCGTCCTCCTGACTGACCCTGCTGGCCTGGCCTGGCCTGCCCCTCCTCCTGGGAACTCTATGTAAGACACTCTTCATTCCACGTCATCTGTGTCGGTCGTCACACCACACCTGACTGACACAAATCTCTGGTTCACTGTAAAGCAGGCTAACGGTGGGAGGCCAAAGGGCAGGGCTGTGTCGTGTAAGAGGCATCTGTCTGTCTGGCCATTTGAGGCCCCAGGGCCCTCATGTTCCTCTTGGGGGAAATGTGTAGCCTGGCACGTGGCCCTAGGTCTGCTTCATCCTTGCCTACGCTGGGCCCTCACTGTGCCAGACGGGAGTCCGTCCTGGCTATATAGAAGCAAGACAAACAGTGTTTGGACAGGAGCTCGAGGCAAAGTGCCGTTCTTGAGAAAGAGGGTTACTCAAAACCCCAGGACACCAAATGATTTCTGGAAAACCTACAAAGGGGCCTGGATGGTACCTCGGCTCCTCCTTAGGTAAGGGTGGGGGGTGACCTGGATTCTAATTCAGGCTCTGCCCCTGCCTTCCTACAGGAGGTGAGGACAGCAACAATGATGACAATGGTGCTGAGAATAATTCGAACAGCACAGCAGATACCCCCATTTTGCAGACAGGGCCGCTGCGGCTCAGAGAGGCAAGTTCACCGGCCAGGGTCACATGCTGGTCCCCGGTGAACCCTAGTCTGCTGGACACCAGTCACAACCACTGTGTGACTCCGGTCTGAAGAGGACAGAGCCAGTCTGTGCGGTGGTTTCTGTCCGTCATTCTTAGCGGTCACCTTGACACAGGAAGGTACTCAGTGAATGCTTGTTGCCAGGCATGGTGGTGCACACCTGTAGTCCTGGCACTGGAGAGGCTGAGGCAGGGGAACAGGAGTTCAAGGCCAGCCTGAACTACATAGCAAGACCCTGTCTCAAACAACCCCAAATAAATAAATACATGCTTGTCGAATGACTAACAAAAATGGTGCAGAAGGATGAAATAGAGAAGGGGAGAGAGGCGAGCCTGGGCTCAGAGAACTTTGATCTTGGCAGGGCTGGGGCATGGGACATCAGGATAAGGGGGCCCTGTGGCTGCCGGCCTGCATCTCGCCACTGCCCCCGACTCCCAGCACCTGGTCCCGTCCCCTCGTCCCCAGCATGCTTGCGCGAGCACTCTGCAGAGACCACGCTATTTAGTGGTTTATTCAGTGTCTCCCCACGGCCCTGGGACCCGCGAGGGCAGGACCGGGGCTGTCTTGTTTACTGCTGCGTCGCCAGGCCGGACAACGTGCCGGCGGGGCCTGGCGGGTGAAGGAGGGGCGGGCGTCAGAGCCCGCGAGGGCAGGGTCGCCCTCTAGCGGCGGCTCGGAGCTGGGCGCTGTGCCCTCCCCACCTCCCCGACTCACTTTGATCTCGATCTGCTCCTCCATCTCCTTGCTCTTCATGGCCGCGTACTCCTTCTCCAGCCTGCGGGGAGGGGCGTGTGATCCCGCCAGACCGCCCCCGCCTTCCCCACCCCGCTGGCTCTGCGCCCCCCACACTGACCTCTTCATCTTCTTGGGGTTGTACTTGACCTGGTAGGCCTTGAGCACCAGCTTGTCCGGGCAGCTGTCGAACTGGTGGGGGATCACCCTCTGGAAGTACTGCGGGGACAGGGCTCACCTCTGTGTCCTGCCGCCGCCTGGGGGACAGACGGCCGCGTCCCCGGCACAGGGCCTGGCCTGCGCGGGGCCGGTGTTTGCGGAGTGAATGAATGACCGCGGGTGAGGCTGAGCAGGGGCGGCAGGCAGGGCTCGCTTCCGCTTCGGGGAGTCAGGCTCCAGAACCCCGAGGGCGAAGGCGGGCATGTGGGGTCTGAGCCCAGCGGAGAGAGGGGGTGGGGGAGCCGGTGAGTGGAGACGCAACCCGCTCCCCAGCCCAGCTGGCCCCGCCGGCAGCTGGCGACAATGGACACCCGTGTTCTCGGACACAGCGTGGCTTTGTGCTTCCTTTCCCGCAGCGCCAGCTGGAGGCTGCTGGGCGGGGGCAGGGCCTGCATGCTGGGGACACGGTGAGGGAGGCTGTCGCCAGGGCCGGGCGCGCTGCTCAGGGCAGGAGGCCGCCCCGGAAGCCCGCTCCCTCCTAGCCCTGGCCTGGCCGGGGCTCCCTTGCCAGCCGCCCCGAGCCCCAGGGCTCCGCTGGGCCTTCCTCTCCCCCAGGCGCTGGCCGGCGGCCCACCTGCGACATGCCCTCCATGTCCAGCTGCATGAGCTCCGCCTGGTTCACCTGCAGCAGGGCCAGGCCCACCCGGAACACGATCTCCAGCCCCTGCAAAGGCCGTGGGTCAGCGGGGGGTCGGGACTCACCGTCCACAGGGGCGGGCGGCCCTCCAGACCCTCACCTCGTACATGAAGATGTCGAAGACTCGGGTGGCCACGGGCAGGGGGAAGGTAGTGAGGAAGAGAGTGAGGAACCAGGACGAGGCGTACATGGACGTGTGGAAGCTCTGCGAGCGGAAGTGGGTGTTCAGCTCTGGAAGCTGCTCCTGTAGGGGAGGGAGGCTGGGTGGGCGTGGTGAAGCAGTGTTGGGCAGGGCTGGTTCCCTCCCAGCCGGGATGCTGGGCCTCCGTGCTCCCAGCTCCAGGGAGCCTTCCTTGACCTGCCCAAGCCTGCCTGAAGGTCCCTTCCGTGGAGCATGAGGAACATGGAGCGGTGACGTAGGGGCGATGGCTGGAGGCTTGGCAGCTACCCTGGGTGGGCACTGGCCCAACTGCTTTACTGGCAGCAGCTCACAAGTTCCTCCTGATGGTCCCAGAGGGAGTTTCTGGGGGCTCAGGGGGTTTTATCACTCCCCAAGGCCACCCAGAGGGTGAGAGGTCCCTGGTCAGAGCTCTCACAGCTCCCTCCGGGTATGTGACTAGCTAGTTGCTGTGCCCATCACGGCCCCCAGCATGGAGCTGTGCCCGGCTGTGCGCAGGGGATGCCCGTTTAATTGGCCCCAACTTCAGGCTCCTGGAAAGTGAGAGACCGTTGGGGAGACTGAGGCTGGAGAAGGCATTAGGATCATGGGCTTCCTCCCAGAGCCAGGTGCCCTCTGCCTGGATTTATAGGTCTGCATGGCTGTGGGGGTCGGGGTTACTCAGCCTGGGGTGGGGAGCCCCCTTCTCTGCAGCACAACCAGGCCCTTGAACCTGAATACCACCCGGCCTCCAGCCCTGGGGTGTGGGGTGCTCACCGCCCCCCTGGGCTTCCAGCTCAGGCCAGTGTGCGTAAGCGGTGTGTATGTGTGTGCGCACACCGAAGCACTGTCTGCCAGCCAGGAGCGGGCCCTGCGGGGGCTGCTATTTATAAACAGCCTTCTGCGGCTCTCTGGTAATCAGTGGAGGCAGCCAGACAACACTTACCCCCTCCAGCGAAGGGACCGTGGGTGTGTCTGGCGGAGCCAACCCCTGCCCTCTCCTTACCCAGAGCTGAGGAGCTGAGCCGCTCTGGGGCCCCCAGGGTGAGTGCAGGCCCCGCCCATTTCCTCCCAGCATCCTCCAGGTCAGTGTCCTCAGCTGTGGGCACAGAAGCCCCCTCTGGGCTGGGATTTCCCGACATGATCACTCAGGCATGGCATTTTCAGTCCGGGAGACTCCTGGGGTCAGGATTCTGACCGCCCAGCCTGCTCACCTGTAGCATGTACTCAAACTGGTAGATGCAGAGCCCCAGCTCGGCCATGCTGGGCTTGAAGAGCTCCCGCAGCCGGTACTCCTGCATCAGCCGCACGAACACGCAGAAGGCCTCCTCCTCGGGCATCTGAGGGAACAGGAAGTGCTGAGTGTGGGCGGTGTGGTGGCACAGGCCAGGCACTCACAGGGCCCCGGTGCACACGGGGGCTGAGTCTGCTCCGCTTGTGTTTACGGATGCGGACTGTGCTCCTCTCCTGGACACAGTGGGTAAATACGGCTACCATTGTTCTACTGACAGAAAAGCTGAGGCTGAAGTCACCTGCTGAGGGCCACACACAGGAAGCACTGGGGCTGGGACGTGAACCTTGGTCTGGCTGCTGCAGAGTCCAAGTCTCATCTCCCTGGCTGAGGCCCTCCTGTCCCCTCCTGCTCTTTTCCTTCCCCTTGTTCTTAGCCTTCTGGTGCCTCTGGAAGACCCCCCCCATCCCACCCTGGGGTACCCTAAGCCCAGGACTGGCTGATCTAAGGCCCTGCCCAAGGTCCCTCCCTGTCTCACCCTGGCAGCTGGTCCGCAAGCCTTTGGCTTTGTCCTGGACCCAGCCAGGGCAGGTTCCCAGCCCCAAGTCCTCCCGGGGGCAGTTGGTCTGGTGGTCACAGGAGGCTGGAGAGGGAGGCTCTGATCTTGGGAGGACACTGGGTGGGGACCCCTCCCTGTGTCCCCCTCCTGGGGTGGACCTGGCCTTCTGCTGCCTACCTGCATGAGGAGCAGGCCCACGATGAAGGCGCTGCCCTGGCAGTAGCCCACCTCCCGGTCCACCAGGGAGTAGGCCTGGAAGAGAGGAGGGGGTGTGAGCACAGGCCCCCAGGGACTGTCCCCAGGGCCCGGGGGTGGTGGGGCCTGACCTTCATGACGTTGAAGAGGACCTCCTGGCCCAGGCTGTCCTGGCCCTTGAAGAACTCGTGCTCCGGGTAAGTGCGGGCGATGTCCCTGCGGATCAGCTTCTCACACGGCGAGGACATCTTGAGCAGCTCCGAGTACTGGTTCTTGACTGGCATATCCGTGGCGCTGCATAGGAGCTGCCACACGATGGCCCGGAAGTGGTGCGGGATGCCCTTGCGGATCAGCTCCTGCACAGGGAGGGGTGGGGACGGAAGGCTGGGGCTGGACTCTGCTCCAGGCCCCAGGCAGCCGCTCAGTCCTGCCCCACAGGTGCACCTCGCCCCCCAGCCCCCCTGCCAGCCTGTCTGCCCCGCTGGCTGGACCACCTTGAGCAGCTTCTCCTTCCGCCGCCGCCACTCCTCCCACTCGTTAGCGATGCGGCCCCACAGGATCCACGTGTCCTCCTCCAGGTGGCTCAGGTTGGACGAGGCGGAGGAGCTGGACACCAGCGAGGAGCCGCTGTTCCGCCGTGAGCCATTCATGGAGCGCATGGACTTGGAGTCGGCTTCCAGCAGCCTGGAGGAAGGGGAGGGGGCTGGTGGTGCTGCCGACTTCCTGGGGCCAGGGGTCTGGGGAGCCCAGCGCTCCTCCTCCGGCTCTCGGTGGTGGACTCCAGACACCAGGCTAGGTCATTTTTGCTGAGCGGCTGTGGCCAGTGACCTAAGCCTGAGGCTGTTCCTCATCCACTGGCCTAAGACGATTCCACTCGTGCTCCTCGCCAAGCACTGGCTGAGGACCATGCGCATCATTATCTCACTGTCAACCACGGCTGCGGGTGTGTCTGGGGGTGACCCACATTCTGTAGGTGGGGCGCAGAGGAGACCTGGCTGAACACCTAGCTACCAAGGGGGGGGGGCTGTATTAACTCTGTTTTTCTTTTTTTTTTCTTCTTCAGTACTGGGGATCAAACCCAGGACCTTCACACTGATCTACAGCCCGGTCATTTTTTTATTTTGAGACAGGGTCCTGCCAAATCACTAAACGGCCCAGGCTGGGCCTGAACTTGCAGTCCTCCTGCCTCGGCCTCCAGGAGTGCTGCTGGATGGCAGGTGTGTGTCACCATGCCTGGCAGCTCTGTGCTTCTGATGCTTTGACGGCTGGGCCTTGGGGACCCTGGAGGGCGGCCCTCCCGGTGCTCACTAGTTCCCAGGGAAAGGAAAAGATCAGCTCCCCTTGCGGGGACCTTTCCCATGCAGACCAACTGATCCTGAGCCCATGCCCTGATCACCTCCTCTGCCAGGCTCTCCTGTCCTGTTCACCGTCCTCTTGCCCAGTCACCCCGCTGCAGGCAGCAGCACCAGGGACATGCCTGGGGCCTGCCGAGGCGCTGGACAGCCACACAGTAGTGAGCTGTGAGTCTCTTGCACTGCCTTGCCTGTTCCTGCCCGCGGAAACCACTGTTAAGGCCACAAGGCTGTCCCCGGAGCTGAGGGGCCCCGCAGTGCATGGTATGGCTCCGCTTGGGAACGGGGAGTAGCTGCCCCTTTCCAGTGCGGTTGGCTCCTGAGATCTGAGTAAGACTAAAGCCTGCATCTGGGCTGGGATGGGGGTGGCGCAGCAGGAGAGCATTGGCCTAGCATGCGGGAGGCTCTGGGTCCGTCCCCAGCACCACAAACTAAACAAAACAAAGCAACTCACAAAACCACAAAAACCGTCTTCTAAGATAGGGCAGGCTGGAGACAAAGGTGGCAGGGGTACGGCGGAAACAAAAATGTCTTGGAAAATGATGGCCAGGTTCACCTGATGTTTTTTTTTGTTTTTGAGGCAGGTCTTGCTATGTGGTTCAGGCTGGCCCAAGCTGGCCTGAAATTCATGGCGGTCCTCCTGTCTCAGCCTCCCAAGTGCTGGATGACAGGAGGGTGTACCCTCCTCTGTGCCCGGCTCACTTGACCTCTTGAAACCTCAGCTCAGTCTCCTCCGGGCTGTGTAGTGGCGGGTGTGAGCATGACTGGAGACGCCCTTTTCAAGGGTCCTGGGATAGCTGTTATTGTTCAGCATGGGCCCAGCTTGGAGCATGAAGGGGCCCAGGCTGTACCCCAAGACCCCCCCCCAGCCCCCACTCACCGGTTCTGTTCCTCCAGCTTGGCCAATAGCTCCAGCTCATCGGGGCTGAGGTTCTCGGAGTCGGAGGTCGGGGAGCAGGTGGGGGCCGACAGGGCCTCCTGGGACGAGGAGTCAGGGCTCAGAGTGGGGCTCGCCATGGCGGGCAGGCTCATCAGCTGCGAGCGGGGCTGGGTCACAGCTCTGTCTGGGGTCCAGAGATGCGTGCGGTCAGCACTGGGTAGGCGCCTGGCCTGCCCTGCTGGCTCTGGGCGCACTGAGTCTACCTGCCCCGTCCCCCACCTCCTCACCCCAGGCTTCCCAATTCTGGCTGCCCTGGGTGACCCCTGGCTCTCATTGCCCCAGCCCAGCTGCCAGCCAGGTTGGCTCCTTCTGTGTAGACCCCAGAATGGGATCCCTGCCAGAATCCTGCCCAGGGACAAGAGGTTCACAGCCTGGACCAGAGCTGCCCTGCTGACCCTGGCTGTGAAGGCCAAGGCTCAGCTTCACAGCTCAAGTCTGCGGCGGGGCCTGGACCAGTGGCTTCCAGTGCCCCGAGGTCCCTGCAGGGTGCAGAGGTCCTTCTCACAGCTCAGTCCCTGTCCTCTCCTTCAGCCAGGCCTGGGAGCTCAGCAGGAGCCTCTACCTTCCCCATCTCATCAACCAGAGTGGGCTGCTGGCACAACCGGAGCAATTATTCTCCACTGTTAATTGTCTGGTGCTGCCGACGGCTGGAACAGTCGACTCCCCTTGGACTGGGAAGCCAGCGACGCTTCAAAGTGCTGGGAATCCATGCCCCAGTGGACGAGAAGCCAGACCTGCAGGCTCTGTCCAGTGTCCTGACCTCCACCAGCATGTGCTGGCCGCTCCTCCTTATTCTTCCCCAGGGTGGTCTGCCCTACCTTTCTGGGTGATTCAAGGACACTGGCTTCTCACTCTCTGCCGGGCTGGGAGGAGGCCGATCAGGACTGTGTCCAAACAAAGGCTCTGGTTTCAGATGGACCCATGTCTGCACCCTGACTCCCTTGACTGGCTGTGTGACCAGAGGCAAGGGCTTGGCTTGTCTGGTCTCCAGAGACCGAGGCCCTGCAGGACTGGCCTCAGAGGCGCCTGTGGGTCAGAGCAGTGCCAGCCACTGCTCTCCACCCTGGGCCGGGGCCTGTGTGGGGCTGTGGGAGCCGGCATCCGCCTGGTGAGGGCTCCTGGGACTGGAAATCACTCTAGGAGGGGAGGCAGGGGCTGGGGGTGGTGTCCCTTGCTTTCTAGTGAACCCAGGCTGGCACCCAGGGTTCTGAGCAGACGGGGGTACCTGGGGTTGTGGAGGCAGAAAGAAATCTCCCACCTGATGATGCTGCGTGGCGTGGCACCCTCATCCCCATCCTCCCGGGGTGCTTGGCACCAGATGTCTGCTCTGTGCCCCTGTACCCCACCTGACCTGACTCTGACGGCCCCAGCTCTCTGGGGAGCAGCCATGTTACAGCCCCCTGGCATCTCGAGGTCACTGGGTACCTTCCTGCACCTGGACTCAGCCCCAGGGGTCAGCTGGACTTCACCGTGGCCGTGCACTGGATTCCAGTCCTCCCTCCTGTGGTGCTCTGTCACGGGGCAGGGCTGAGGGGTGCACGATTCTTTTCTCACTTCTTGGGGAGCCCAGAACCCTCCCTCTTCAGGACGGTGGCCCCAAAGGCCGCCTTGTCTGTTGGGACCTCCCATTGCCCGGCTGGCCAGGGACCGCCTGCCCCTGGACCAAGCCGCCATGCACCCCCTCACCAGGAGTTAATCATTTCTGAGAGGGACCTCGGGGGCCACTCTGGGGCCTTGTGCGGAGTCAGAGTCTGCAGCCAGCCCAGCTGGACAAGAAACGCTGAGCAGAAAGATATTTTTGGACTGGCAGAGTCCAGGGAGGCAGCTTCAGAGCTGGGAGGACAGGAGGAGGTGGTGGGGCGAGGATCAGGGCCTCAGAAGCCCCGCTGGCCTTGGGGAGCAGCGAGGGTCAGGGTGTTGGTGTGGGACCATCCTGTCCCTACTGAGCAGAGGGGACCCAGCTTCGGGGGTGTCAGCTTCACCCTCACCCCCTCAAGGAACTGAGAGAATGGTGCAGCTCTGGGTTTCTCGTAAACCCTAAAGCTTAGGGGCCACCTCCTGGCAGTTTGTTTAGCTACTTATCACACATTCATTTGTATTTCACACAGGAAGTAAAATGCATTAAATACACAGGGCTGAAATTTACAGTGTGAGAGGCAGGAGCCTTCCGATCCTGCCGGAAGTTTCTCTTGACTCATCCTCAGACTCTCCAAACACTGCCCCAGCCTGGAAAGCACCCTCCCAAAGTCTGTGCACATGCTTGTATGCACACACAAGTGTGCACACATGCACACACACAGGGAGGTACAGAGACACGCTGGGACACATACTCACCCATTCACCCAGCTACACATTCTCATCCACACCCACATGCCACACACTCATGCAAGGCACACTTACACACACGGATGCACATATTCTCACAAACACACATGCACGCACACTTGGATAACACCTACTCAGGCACACGGACACACACAAAACACACGCACACTCGGACATATGCAAGCACACACAGCCATTCACTGTCAAACATATATCACACGGTGGCTCATTCACACACACATTCTTACACATACACGTGCTCATTACCCCCAGGGTGCACACACTCAGGTACACACTCATCACATTTACACTGAAGCATGCTACCATGCACTCACAATGCTGCCACCCCTACCCCCACTCTAACTCACAGTATTCACACTCACACACACACACACACACACACACACAAACACGCATGCCCCTCCTGTACTGCCTATACCTGGACACCCCGGGGGTGGGAAGATTTGGACCTAGGGGCTGGCTTGCTGCTGTCCTGGCCCTGGGGGGCACTGCTTCCCTCTCCAGAGGGCCTTGGCTCTCATGGGCTCAAGCACTCCTTCCCAGCATGGACCAAGGGCCGCCTGTGGGGTGGGCACTGTCCTAGGCCAGGGACTGGGTGTGGAGCAAGGGACACCAGGCCATCCCCGTGGGATGTGGGGGGGGGAGTGGCCCCACACCCTCAGCGCCACCCCTGGCTTCTGGAGTGAGACAGGCTGGTGCGGGCAGCTAACGGGCTGTGGGAGGCTTGGGGACAGAAAGGCCCAAAACCAGGCATCTTTGGCCGAACTTTCCCTGTCGCTCTCCGGGGCACTTGGACCCCGCTGGTCACACTTCTTCCATCCTGAAGTCCAGTCTGTCCTGGTAGCGACACAGGGCCCCTGCTCCTCCTCCTGCCTCTCTGGCCAGGGTCGTTCAGCCTCCCACTGGCCTCCCCGTGGCTTCGGCCCTTTATGCCCCGGGACCTCACTACTGGGGCCTAAATGACCAAATATACACAGGCGATTCTGCAACCCTTATCTGCAGCTTTTTCTTTCTGCAAAGCTTGGGCCAGGATTGCCAACGCCCTCTAACAGCCCCATAACTTTCATATGTTTGTTTCTCCCACCAGAGCAGGAATGGCCTCTGCCAGGAATAGAAGATAGGGTAGGATGAGAAACCACCAGGCACTTTCTCAAAACCTGATTTAGCATCTAATCCAGCAATTCTCCTAGATATCCACTCATCCAAACCCGTGTTCGCAAACCTTCACAGCAGCCCCAAAGTGGAAACAACCTAGATGTCCACCAATGAATGAATGTATCACAAGAAGTGGCCCATCCCACAATGGAATATCATTCAGCCACAAAAAGGAATGAAGTACTGACACTCGCTACAACACGGACGAACCTTAAAGGCATTGTGCCGGGTGGGGAAAACCAGACTTAAAAGGTCGCAAATTGTGTTTCCACTTACAGATAAAATATCCAGGATCGCCAAATCCACAGGGACAGAACATTGATTAGTGCTTGCAGGAGCTGGGGTAAGAAGGGAACGGGGAGTGAGTTTCATCCGTACAGTGTTTCCCTTTGGGGTGACGGAAATGTTCTGGAATTAGATAATGGTCATGGTTGCACACTATTGCCTGCGCGCTAAAGTTCACTGAATCGTACACTGGGGGCGTCGTGCATTATACGGATTATGTAAATTAAGCGGGCTGGCAGAGAGCCCTGCGTGGAAGCAGGGGTGGGTGGGGCTTCAGAAGGCGCGGGAGGAACCCGCCCTGCAGGGGCTGTGGGCGGGGCAGGAGCCCGCTGCCTTTGTACTTCGGAAAGGAAAGCCGGAAAGCCGGCCGCCTACTTCACACTACTTCACGCCAGGCCTGGGTGTCCCCTCCTTCCCAGTCACACTGCAGAATTCAGGCCCGTCTCCCCGGCCGCGGCCTCCTTGTTGGGCTCTCCCCACAGGGGCCGCCAGAGCCAGGACAGATACAGGTAGCGGTGCTGCTGTCTTGTCCCAAACGCGGGACAAGGTGAAGCCCAGCCGTCTGCCTGGTGCCCAGGACCCCGCAGCCTAGCCTCCTCCTGTGTCAGCCCCGCCACGCCCCGCGCCTGGCCTCCTCCTGCCTGTGCCCCCCTGCACACGGGCTCCCCAAGACCTGGTTTGAGCATTCATTTTATCTCTTTACTTTGGGAGTCACTAAGTTGCCCAGGCTGGGCTGGAACTTGCGATCTTCCTGCCTCAGCCTCCTAGAGTCTGGGATTATAGATGTGCGCCATGGCGCCCAGCAAGTCTAACTGAAAATTTCCCTGTCAGCCCTGCTCTCCTCAGTGTCTGGCTCCCTTCCCTGTCTCCTGAACATCTACTCCTAGGCCTGACCTGCCAGCCCACCTACTGGCTCAGGAATGCATGGAGGGCAAAGGCTTGCATTCACTATTTAGCATTCAATAGGTGCTCAATAAACATTTGTTGAATGAAGACAAAAATGTTGTTGCCACTCAGCCAGGCTCAGCCAGCTGCTCAAGGTCAGTTTCAGTGGTGATGTCACAAGGATATCCTGTCTCTGATGGGATGGGATGAGAAGGACATTTCACTTATTTCTCCTGTGGGCTTCCTCTTCCAAGCTGTGTGACCCCACTCTGACCATGAAAAACACACCTGACAGACTCATATTAGGGGACACTGTACAAAGCATCCACCAGGCCTCCAAACTGTCAAGGTCACCGAAAACAAGGAAAGTCCCCAAAACTGTCACAGCCCAGAGGGGCCTCAGGAGACGTGAGGACTAAATACCATGTGGGATCCTGGATGTGACCTGGGACA